CTCCTCATGACTCCATGTTGGACTTTTCACTTTAGAAAGTTCCTGCGAGAGTCATCAGGACTCCTTACGATTCCTGCTGGAGTTTTTCATAAACTTGGGACTCCCGTTGGAGTTTTGCCGGGAGTTTCGACTAGGGATTGGTGCGGTAAAAACTTGCAGGTAAAAGCTTTTCATACGAGTAGAACTATAGGCCATAATTTAAACTAAAGTAAATGTTTTGATGTACATCGATACTTGTTGATGTATTAACATCTGAGCACGACCTTAGTTTTGTACTACTGCCGTCAAAAATTCATAAACATCTCAAAAATGGCGAGCCATATACTTCTCCAGAACTAAGTTATCAATTTATGCTATTTCTAATGAGTTAAAATACTATTAACTATTTTGTCTTTGGTTTACTGTAATTCCGCTAGAAAAGCCTTTCACTTCATACAATTTCTTTAGTTTTCGTCTGTTGTTCCTCTACACATTTTTCTTATTTGAGCGAGTTTTTTTACCAATCCTTCGTTTAGTCGTAGTTATCGACTGCTATTTTCGGGTAAAAGAAGACAACGGAAAGTCGTCTTTATAAAACTAGTGAATTGTATTTTTTTGATTCTTATTTTGTGATAGTTCTCCACTAGTCGCTAACCTCTTGTTTTGATTCATCTGAATGAACAATATCACGACCAATCACATCTAAGGTGTAGTGATCCAATTGCAAGCTTCGCTAGCGAATAAAAAACGTAAAAAACGTTTTAAGCTTTTTACTACCATCATATGGAAGGAAAGTAGAGATTACATTTAATTGTGTGCTGTATGATAGCTGGTTTCTGTCTCCATTCTTCATATTGTAAACAACAATGCTGATCCGCGTATCTAATGATTCGTGAGACAAGCGAGAGCAAAGTGAAATCCCACTGAAAAACGAACGTTAGAATCTTCCTCGAGACCACAAAACCCTTTAGTGTCCTTCAATTGTATAAAATTTGCCGTTATCGTAGCCTTTTTCTGTTATCTGTAATTATCACTATCTTTACCTGCCTTCTGCTTGCTGCCATTACTCTGGATATTTTCACATTTCTCTCTTGCAAGGTGTTTTCCTCTTAAATACTATATTCCGTTTCGTTGCAGTCTACAATCTGGGACAAACTTCTGAAAATGACGATATCTTTCTGTGCATTGTTTTCTACTCAAGGATTCTGTGAGTAAATACTACTGCGGAATTCCGTGAAATTATCTCAAACCAAGAGCTAGTTCCAATCTAGGTAAACAAACGTTTCACCTAAATTTTTTTCACCTAAAACTGTTTTTTGCTTAAGATGATAGGTCTCCTACGTTTTTCAATTTTTTGCTAGTTTTTTCAATTTTTGGTTAGCATTCCTACATTCTATCATGTTTTAAAAGGAATGATCTAGGCGTACATGAACTAACTTTATACTAGTAGATCACTCATGTAACAAAAACTTTAAAAACTCTGATAATTTTTCACAAAATTTTTGGTCTCTATATTCTGTATAGCCAGGCAAAATAAAACGGTGAACGCCTCTCGTAGAAAAGTTTCTCGCAGGATTCTCGACTGGGGTTGTCTTTCAAAAACAAATTTTCACTTTTTACGTTCGAAATGTTGACCAAATTCAAGTATATGAGTTAATGTTTTGCACTAGTATGATTTAATCTATCTGCGGTGATATAGCTGAATGTAATATACAAAGACAATTCTTCTACAGACTACAAATAAAATCAAACAGATTTTCTTTTGCCGAAAATTGCAAGGATACACCTGAAGTTATATACATGTCATTTTTTTTGTATCATCTAACTTTTATACCGGCATACTTACTCGTGTTCAATCATTAAAAAGAAAACGTCGAAAAATTCGACGACGAACGTTCGATAATTTCTTAAGTTTCTTATATAGCATGTACATTACCAAAACAATGCTGGAGACTGTCTGACGAGTTAAATTATTCCGCATTTCTTTAAAATAAGTATTTAGATAAGAAATTGCGAGAGGGTATCTATTGATTTACCTTGAAAAAGCATGTGTATGCACTTCGCTGGAGGGTGACGAAATTCAGCGGATTACGAAATTCAATTTCTTGACATATATCGTTAAGTGATTTGATGAGCAGTGATTGCGTAATACTGGTGCACGCGTTGTATAAAAACAAACTCTTAAATACATATTTATATCCATTTCTCATATTAATTAAGCCCACAACTCTGTAATCCAACCGCACCAAAAGGAGATTGCTCTATTTGAACTTTCTAGTAAGGTACGTAAACTATAAACAGTACGTATAAATGTGTTTTAAGGTGATTTTTGCTCTTCACTCTATTTCTTGATACTAATTTCAAGTAAAATGCTGTTATTTACAACTTTTATGTGATCTCGATTGTCGTTTATAAAACAATTTTAATATTATTTTTTAGACAAATTTTACTATTGTCATTAATAGTATATAATATTTCCATTTTTCTTTGTTTGAGCAAAAACTGATGTGTTACCACTTATCTTTCTTTTTTGCAAATGTTAATTCCGCCACGAACAGCTATTTTTCTATTAATCAAACGCTCTTCTAGTACATATTATAAAAAATTCATCAAAGTTTATCGTTATAGTGTAGTTAATCCTTACAAAAATCTGTTCAATATGGAAACAAATAAAACAACATCAAATTATTGTTATGTATTCAATAAAGATGATGATAAAATTCTTATTCAAATAAATTATGAATTTTTTAATGAAAAGAAAAATGTTGTACGACAATTTACCTTACTACGTGATATGAATGAATCTGTTTCACATACAATCAAACGTTTAACAAATAATATCGATAAAGCAACGTCAAAACGATCAAAATCTAAAAAAAAGTCAAAAGAAACTGCAGAAGAAGAAACATCGTCTACTGTTAATATTCGACTATTAGATAAAAATGAATCGCTTATTGATGGAAATCTTTTAAATAAAGACGTATGGACAAAATGTAAAAAATTATTAATTAATGATCAATGTTATCTTATTGAAATTAATGCACCAGCAATTCACAAATTTGAAGCAAGATATAATTGAACTTTTTTAATGTAAACTACAAATTTGTTTACTTTTTCTAGTTACCAGATATAATATTAACAGGAGCAGTGACAATGGCAATAGTTCGACTTGAATTTGGTTCATTGGAACATTGTTTATTTGATTGGTATGTTACGAATGATTTGAAAGAGGAAGATGAAAATCAAGAAGGAGACAACAAAATATCTTGGACTCATATACATCATGGACCAGTGTGCATATTTTCTGACGAACATGTAAATAAATATGTTAAAGTTACATGTTTACCAAGAAATTCAAATTTACGATTCGGTTTATTTGCTGAGTGTATTTCAAAGAATCGAATAATACCGTGTCCAAAAGATTTACCAATGACAAGTAGACACGAAATGACAAAAGAATATGTGCCAGATAATCAGTAAGTAGATGATTTTTCTTTTAATGAGTAAGTTTTTAGCAGAAGTGCAGAATCTATCCGTGAGATTAGGAAATTTCCCCGGCATGAAACAAAAGTAAAAACAAAACAATGTGATTTTATTGTTGTTAAACCTATTGTTTCTGTTTAATCACACATGGCGGGTTCTGTTTTGTTCGCTGCTTGTTCTTGACGTAAACGTTTTAATACAATTGAGAGTAGTTAGTTTTTGAAAGAACATAAAAAGTGAGATAGTCGTTAAAGGCTAACATAATTCTCCGTTTTTCCAAAACCTTAAAAACTTTTCCCGAAAAAATTTTTTTCCTCCGACGGCCGTCGGCGCAAATGGGAAGATTCTGCATCTCTGGTTTTTAGTGTCTAATTATTTTGCTCATTGAATTCATCTCGTTCAGTAATATATTTTTATTTTTATCTCAATATTTGTATGCTTCTTTTTTTCCTATTTTATCATTTCTGGCTTCGGGTTGTTACATGGAATATTTTGGCTAACGGATATGCGAGCTCAGCGACAGCCAAAAATGGCATGTATCCCTATTGCAGTGAAGATCATCTCAATTTTTCATATCGAAAGCCGTTGATATTAAAAGAAATTCTTGGTAAGTTCATGTTCAATTAACACAAATCTCACTTATATGATTAGAGTGTCATATTCATTTCATTTTTTTTAAAAGGTTATAACGCTGATGTGGTAGCATTACAAGAGTGTGATGTCAAGTTTTTTGACAATGATCTATCATTAGTCATGAAAATGAATGGTTATCTCGGCCACATGAAAATAAAAAGTACAAATGTTCAAGAAGGAGAGGCAATTTATTATCGTTCAAATAAATTCAAGTACATCGTCGTATAATTCTCTTTTTTTTTCCTTATCTTATTATTCTACAACGTTTTCAACTTTCTGTTTTAGCGTAGTTGGAAGTCATGATATATCAATAGCTGATTATTTTAATAATTCGGAGAATGCTGAAATTTTGAGGTTGAGATTAGAAACATTATCAGACGTTCGCCAATGTCTTTCTGGTAGAAATACAGTACTTCAGGTATAAACACGTAGTTTTTCATTCATTTACGACAAGTTTACAACGTACTGACTTTGTGTCTCTAGATTTTGGCTTTACAAGTAAAAGATAATTCAAATCATGTGATATTAGTATGCAATACTCATCTATATTTTCATCCGACAGCCAATTTAATACGTGTTTGTCAAGTCATTTTATGTTTAACACGATTAGAAGAAATAAAACGATATTATGAAAAAGAGGTGAGAAACAATAATCACCCTATTCACCGAATAACAATCTTATAGAATATTTATGGGATGAACTTGAATGCCGAATCAGAAAACATCCACCGATAAATGAAAAAAACTGAGAAAGATACTCGTGGATGGACGGGATTGTATTGGTCAAGATTTAATCAAAAAGTTGGTTGATTCGGTACCAAATCGTTTGTACGAATGTTCACGTATGATCGAATATTCAGCTCGATACTAAGATCTGAAACGAACCCCTTTTGCTGTTAGAAATTATTTTTTCCAAGTGGTTAAATAGTTATGGACCAGTGAATGATCACATTCTCACTATTTGTTCAATAAGAATTAAACCATTTTGGAGTTTGGACTTGAAAATTTGTACGTACAGACTAGAGATCACGATGAATAATCTAGTGAAAACCAGAGCTGTCTAGCACATTCCATTCTAGAGATATAAGAGAAACAAAAAACCTTAGGACATATGGTTGAATAATTCTAGAACTCACTGTATATGATCTATGTGTTTCAATGTCGTTTAATAATTTTAGTTGTTTTTTTCAGGGTCGTACTGTTTCTATTATATGGGCTGGGGATTTCAATTCGACTACCACATCATTGGCCTTCCATTTAATTTTTACAAATTCTCTATTAAGAGATACAACACATAAACAATACGATGAAGGTAAGTACAAGAAAAACGTTTATTTTTATTCTATTCAATCAATTGTTTTTATTATTCTATAAGATTATCATACACTCACGAAGGATTTTGATTATTTTCATTCATTAAATTTAATGACATATGCTAATTATGATTATACAGCTTATCTACCTAGTTACAGTGATGTTCTTGATCATATTTTTTTCGATCAAACAACACTCTCATTCAAACGATGTATACCAATGCCATCACATAGTGAAGTTACAGAGTTTGTTGGTTTACCAAGCTGCAAAATACCAAGTGATCATTTGGCTGTCATTGTTGACTTGGAAATGAGACAAGATATAACAAACAATTTAAAAGCTAATTAAAATATTTTTATGTTTGTTCTCTATCATACGGTGATTATTGTTTTTCTTTCATTTTTGACTTGTTATGCAATATGTAATTATTGGTCGTCTTTTTTAATAAAAAAAGAATCAAACGAAGTTATTATAAATACAAGACATTCCGATGATGATGTTTTTCTTTTAATTTGTTAAATTGCGTGAAGCAGATTTGCTGAATAACGTCACAAATAGAAGATTTTTTTTCTCGTCACCACATTTGAAAATGAATGACCTAACATAAAATTTGTCAGATGGATAGGAGAAGTATAACATAAGCAGCGGTTTGAATCATTTTTATTTGAAATTTTCAACGTTTATCTATGATATTTTAAGTAAATAAAAACGTTAGAAATTTAAAATAAAAATGATTCAAACTGCTGCTTACTTTTCCTTATGAAAACTCTATCAATTTCAAATAAAAATGTTTGTCAAATTGAAAATAAAGAATTGCTGTATATCTATCTGCGAACATAAAAATTCTTTTTATTATTCGGAAGAATAAAAATGCTTCGTATTCTTATGAGAGAAGGTCTCAATTGCCACACTGATGTTCGAATATGATCTATACCAGTTTGTAGAGCTCGATGTGCTGTTTACGATGGCATAAAGGGTTTTTCTCCATAGGTCTTATTTGAAGAGTCAGGTCGAGTTTATATTTAGAAGG